GACAATCTAAGGGAAAAGAGGTCAGTATCCCTAACTAAAGTCAGGTACTGCATGTTTTAAAAATCACTAAAAATTGATTGAAAATCACTGTCTTAGACGAAGTGGAATTGTGGCATTATAATGTAATAGGTCTTCAACTTTGCTACGAATTGCCAAATTGTTCTCGAGAGTGGTTGAACCAAGTTTTCATGATATTGCACTTGGAAATACAGGTGACTGACTTTTGGCTTTCAAACCAACAAGCGAAATAATCAAATCTTTGTCTTCTACAGTTATATTAAGATGTGGGGATAAAAATGTACAGAATGCATGTAAATTCTTCCAGAATCACCTGCCTGCTATTAAGTAATTTTTGTTCCAAGAACAAAAACTGGATTCCATATGTCCAATGAAACAGTGTCGATAAATAAACATATTTGTGGACCATGAATGAATCTCGACTCAAACAAAGCAATTATAAACACTTTGAAACTGTTAAGAAAATGTATATATGGGCTGTGGATTAGATATTAAGAAATTTTGTTAAAGGGATAATAGCATTTTTATTATTTTTAAAGTCCTCTCTTAAAAATGCATGGAAAAACATGAAATCTTAGATGTGCATTGAATATTTCAGCAAAAAATAAAGAGTGATAGATGAATCAAGTATGGCAAATCTTGACAAATGTTGGCTATATGAAGCTTATTATACTATTCTCTGTTTTTGTGTCTGAAAATTGTTGTCATCATATCATCACCATCATCAGACATAAGCCTTACTAATAGAGACAGACTACTAAAAGCAGGGGTAGACAATTGACCATGAAAAAGAAAATTTCAACCCATAACCCTTCCATATCTCGTAACCAGATTATCTTTCTCTCTACAAGTAGCTAGACAAGTTCCAGTATTTTAGAAGTGAGATAACCCTGTTAAATGCATTAGACCCCATATCCTTGAGGACAGCAGATACTGAGTTGTATTCAGAGATGATAGTACTAAATCAACTGAGCTGATTTAAACAGACTATCAAAAATGGCCTGCCCAAGACAAAATGAGTACAGAAAAAATGATATTGCTCAAATGTCTGTCACAAACTATTATCCCAGTTTTTTTTTAATCCAACAGATTTGATTAATGTTAATGTAACCACTGTTGTACAGGTATCAGTACTGTGAGTCAAGTCTTACAGAAAAAATTCCAAAAATAAAATTAGAGAGAAATGTCAGGCACCCAGTTTTCTTTCTGAATAGGTATGACATCAGAGGCTTCACCACAGCATTTTGTTCCTTTGTGTGTGTTTGGGTGGAGGGAAAGCAGGGACTTGGGGGCAAGTAGTACAGGGCAGAAGAGAAATTTAGCGCAGGGTCTTCATTAACAGTAGGTCACATGACCCAAAATCTTTAGGGTGTGGTGCCTACTAGAGTAGGGGAACCTGGAGGACCTGAGGAGGCGGCATGCATTTCTCACAGCCCTGCATTTCCCACTTCCCACAGAGCTGAGTAAGACCAGCAACACACTCCAGGGAACACTGCCAAAATGACTAAGCCACAGACTACATTTATTTGTATTGTTTGTGACTCACACAACCCTGGGCAAGGGCAAAGGGAGGCCTTGATTCCTGACTGTTGACTTTTGCTTGGTAATCATTCAAAATGTCCTAGGATCATAATGCAATTATAGTGGAATTAATCTTGAGCATGTAAATGACATAATTAATTACATTTATTACAAGTATAATCAAAATTACTAACTGATTCAACTTTGACAGCATAAGTCCTGGAAATCAGTCAGGTACCCAAAGAGTGAGGCTGGTGGCTCTTATAGTCAAATGGTCCCTGGCACTATTTAGAACAGAATAAAATAAAAGTCGCTAAAATCTCTGTCAGACCTTGACTCAGGGTCTGAGAAGATGCACTTGTTTGTAGTTGGAGTGGTGAAAGCTCAGCTGATGCAAGAAAGCAAAGGAAACTTCTCTTTGCTCATGTTAGCCTTCTAGCACATCAGCTCTCTGGGAACAAAAACTAGGATAAAGGATAGCTCTATATTCCCTACCAAAGCTGAATGTTATTTGAAGGGGGTAAAAAGACTGATCTTCATCATTGTACTAGCAATGAGGAACTGTCCTAAACCCAGAAGAGGAAGATGTAATAACAGAGCTTCTTAGAGAGACCTTACTTAGGATCATATCTGAAGCTCAATAACTGAGAGAGTGTTGTAATAGAAGACACAGTAATATATGGCTAAAGACAAAAGAGAATAATTTAATCACAAAGATAATATTTCCCTAGGTTCACCTTTCAGTTGGCTTTTTCAATAAGAGCACAGACAAAATATAGTGCAAGATGGGGAGACTTAAAAAGTGTTTCCAAAAATGTGCTTCACCAAGTAAAAGGGCAGCAGAAGGAATTCGTTGGTGCAGAAAACAAATATAAGTATTTCCTTGTTTATATCATCTCTCCCTCTCAACTCCACAAACCTATCAAAGGCATTGTATCATTTAGACAGATATCTCAAAATCGCTCCCTCACTCCTGGGAACCTTGGCCCGCCTGTGACCCTGGCCTAAACTTTGACCAGCTCAGCTCAGCCTTGTGCAGTTGTTGGCTGCAGTAGAGACATGATGCTCCGAAGGCAGAAGATTGCACCAGCCAGGCCAGTGCTGTGTGTTTCGTCATCCTCTGCCAGTCATCTAGGATTAAAATAATACCTCTCTGCTGACTCCAAACACCAGGATGCATGAACAGAACACACACCCTGGAACAGGGCTACCTAAGCAGGACATAAGTCAGGATGGGAGCAGCCGTGCATACTACGAACAGCTGTGGGATTAACAGAGATGAAAGCTGCACATGTCAGAGCCTTAGTCAGATCTCACCATTGTCCTTTGCTGATGCACCTATTTTAGCATTTATCACAGTGGCCTGTTGGATGCCTCCCCCTCACAGGAACCAGGTCATAATTACCTTTGGATCCCCAATTAAACCTACAAGGATCTTCCTTATGGGTAGCAAGTGCTCAACAACTTCCACTGTTTCACTTCCACTTCCACTCTTTCCTGTAGGTACCATGGGAAAGACAACGACCAAAAATAGAGAAGAGCCCAGCCAGCGTGGCTCAGCAGCTGAGCATCGACCCATCATCTAGAACATTGTGGTTCGATTCCTGGTCAGGGCACATGCCCAGGTTGCTGGAGTGCAGGAGGCAGCCAATCAATGACTCATCATTGATGTTTCTCCCTCTCTCTCCCTTCCTGTCTCTGAAATCAATAAAGATATATTTTTTAAAAAAATAGATACGACAGATAACATAACAAACAAACAAAAAACAAACAAAAAAAAACTAACGTGAAAATATTCACTTCCATATAGGCTAAAAAAACTAAACCAATGCTACTGGCCACCCTCACCTAGTAATTTTTTAATTCTCTTAACCTACCAAATTGGAACCCCTCATGCCCTTTTAAATTCATAACCCAAAACATGCACCACCACCACCCCAATCTATAGGGCCCCACAAATGGCCAGTCAAGATCAATGAAAGCCCAAATTCTCTCCAAGTACAGCAGAAAACCAGCAATAAAGTTTGTCTTTTTTTTAAAACTTAAGGACACATATGAAAAAAATGTACCCAACCCCAGAAAAACAAAAAATTACTAAATTTGCTATCTCTGAGAGAAAAGGTGTCTAGCAGTACAAAGTGGATATCTAATCTTGGTAGAAATATTTTCAGTGATAATACCTTGCTGTTTAAGTAGATACCATAAAACTCTACCAGTTGCTTCAATCATTTGAACATTATAAATTATATAAAAATGCACAAATGTTTTCACTCAAATTGGTTATTTTTAAAACACGCTAGAGTATAAAATTTCTACAATTCCACTTAGACAAACCTCCAAAAGATAAATTCCTTCTAGTAAACTGTTTAACATTTTGACCTTATTTAATCCCAAATTTGATGGGCACAAAATTGTTTCAACATTTTTGAAAAACGCATAAAGACTTAATCTTTTCATTAAACCTAGTGGTTCACTTCTTTCTAATGGTATAGACACTACTCCCATAGAAATCTACTCCCCTGTGAACCTGCTGTCTTAAACAATTCTTAAAATTCTTTTAAAAAGGAGTTTGGGGGATAAAAGCAAAGTGCACAAATAGCAGGGGCGGGTTAAATCAGCTGATTTGTTCATTCACTTCTAACAAAAATTAAACAAGTTTCTTTACTGCAGGACTTTTCTGAGCCTTTGTTACTATTCAACATTACTCTCCAAAAGGAGGGTGTAGTATGTGGTGATTCCCAAGCTTATTTCATGGGGGAGTTATTTTACTTCATGTATTATCAATTAGCTTTTAGCAGGAAAGAGTATTCTGAGGAACATACTTTGAGAATCACAAATTAGAATAAAGTGTTCAAGTGTTAATAAAACCTCAAAAATAGGTTTAACTCCCAGGATGGTTCAATTACCTTTGTTTCTTTTTTAAGCCATTGACTACATCTTTAGAACCATGAACAACCACCTTTATTTTTTTTAATCCTCACCAGGGATATTTTTTCATTGCTTTCAGAAAGAGTTGAGACAGAGAGAGAGAGACATCAATGTGAGGGAGACACATCGACTGGTTGCCTCCTACACTCACCCTGACTAGAGCCAGGGATAGAGCCTGCAACCGATGAACATGCCCTTGGTCAGAATCGAACCCAGGACACTTTAGTCTGCAAGCCAAGGCTCTAACCACTGAGCCAAACTGGCTAGGGCAAACAACAACTTTTAAATGCACGCCTTTACAAACGCCCTGTAAGAACACATAGGTAAATGAGCAAACATTACCTCCTTTACAGTAATTCATTCAACACTCAAGCAGCTGCTATTTTGAAATGAATTATGAATAATCCAAGGCCTACAGAATGCACTACTTACTCTTTGCATATTTCAAGTTCAAATTGAGTAGATGTAAATGGGATATTTTATATCATCATATTTTGGATATTTTAACCATCATAATGAAAAGGAAGACTCACCAACAGAAGCTGAATTTTTAAGAACGGACTCCTTCGGGACTCCTTTTTCAATTCGTAACGTGGCCCACTGTTCAAAAACAAGAAGAATTAATTTAAACTGCTCCATAGACACAGTGTAGTATACTTAAACCGTGCTTATTTCTAAGTGAAATTAAACATTAAGCTCTGGTGCTGCTCCAATTAAAGAGATCCCCCAGTGAATGATGTAGCACTACTCCAAGTCCCAGATATACTCTTGTATTAGTTACTGATAATGCCCTAAAAATAGGAGGAAAAGATCATGTTTACCCCATATAAACCCCTCACACACACCTGGTACCCCAATAAATTACTCCTTGAAAAGGTCATGAAGCATGTTGGGCAAGAGCACAGATTATGGCATTTAAACTACCTGGGTTTCAAGTTACTTTTATAAAGTAAAGACAATAGTTCCTATCCCATAGGGTTTGCTATGAAGATTAAGTTAGATTAACATGTAAAAAAGCCCAGGGCCCAAAGAATAACTATTATTTTCATAGCAAATTAGGCATTCAAGGGTGAGACACACTCAAAGAGGCCTTATTGCCTGCATCAAAGATAAGCTTGAAAAAGGAGACAGTGAGACTTGGAAAGCTGGAAAGCAATCAACGAAGTTGGTAATTAATGAAATCATATGCCCAGATGGTCACTTACATTTTAAGATGCATAGGAAAAATTTTATAACTATGAGGAACCACAGGTTTGAGAGAAGTTAAAAGCAGGAAAAATCAACTCCCATTTTGTTTTGAATGTACATAGGAGTGTAAAGAAATACACCAAGATGTGACTTGTCATTTTCTTCTTTACACTTATTTTATGCATTTCCAAAATTATCTACCATTAACACCATATTTCAAAAACTACAAGCTGGCCCTGGCCAGTATGGCTCAGTTGGTTGGAGCGTTGTCCCATACACCAAAAGGTGGTGAGTTCAATTCCCAGTCAGGGCACATACCCAGGTTGCAGGTTCTATTTCTGGTCTGGGAGTGTGTGGGAGGCAACTGACCAATCTTTCTTTCTCACATCAATGTTTCTCTCTCTCCCTTCTCTCTAAAATCAATAAAAATTGTTTAAATTATAAGTTAAAAAAAAAAAACCTACAAGTTATCTTTGTAGACAGCATTCCAGAAAATCCCAATGGCTATTTTTCTAGTTTAAAAAAAGAACCATTAAAATATTATTTCGATTATTACAATTCCAGAAGCTAACACTGGCTAAATGGACTGATTTGGGGTGAGGGGCAAGGCAGGGAAAGAAAATGCATTGTAATAATTATAGTTAGAACTTAAGCATCCTTGAGAAACAAAAAGAATTTATTAAATATGTCAAGACAAATATCTCATTTATTGCTAGGCTCAGAGAGATGAAATAACAATTTCAAATAAATAAGAAAATAAACTGATAGAGAATAAATAACCTAAAAAATGTACATGAAGGTCGAAAAGTAAGGTGTGATCTGACCACACCAGGACCCCTGAACAACATTCCAAAGAGCCAAAGAGGGACATGCATTTGTGCTTAAAGAACAGCCTATAAATAGAAGCCTAATCTTCTAGGCTTCAAGTGTCAAATCACAAATAATAAGACTCAATCTTAATCTGGTTGCATCTTTTTCTCTTCCTTGCTAGACCTCCCATGTTTTCTCAACAGAGGTAAAGGTTTATTTCTACAGTTTTTCTTTTTTTTTTTTCCTTTTTTTAATTATTGATTTTAAGAGAGAGGGGGGAAAGTGGGGGGATACCCAAAACATCAATTTGTTGTTTCACTAATTTATGCATTCATTGATTGAATTTTGTATGTGCCCTGACCAGGAATCAAAACCTCAACCTTGGAGTATGGAGAAGGCACTAGCCCACTGAGCTGCCTAGCCAGGGCTCTATAGTTTTTCAATTTAAAGCTTTGGCACCCATTATCATTTGTAAGTAGGCCAAAAATATGATTAAAATAAAATCTTGTTAACTATCAATCTTGATTAATCTTGAGACTCAGTTTATTATAGGAATTTGATTTTATATTTTATATAAATAGTAATTACCTTCAACTAGGACAACTATTTCATGCTCATATGATGAGAAACATTGATACTCTGTAGTTGTTATGGGCTGAATTAGGTGTGCTGCCCCCAACCCCATCCCAAATTCATATGAAGCCCTAACCCCCAATTCATCAGAATGTAACTGTATTTGAAGATATGACCTTTAAAAAGGTGACTACATTAAAGTGAGGTCTTTAGGGTGGACCCTACTACAATCTACCCAGTATCCTTATAAGAAGAGGAAATTTGGCTGAACAAAGAGGTACCAGGGATGCACACACACAGAGAAAAGGACATGTAAGGACACAGCAAAAAGGCTGCAAGCCAAGGAGTCGGGCATCACACGAAAGCAACCTGCCAACACCTTGATCTTGGGCTTCCAGCCTCCAGAACCGTGAGGAAATAAATTTCTGTTGTTTAAGCCACCCAATCTGTGGTACTTTGTTATGGCAGCCCTAACAAATTAGCACAAGGGCACTGCTCAAACAGCATGATTTGCTACAAAAAACTCCCATGTTCTGTCACCAAACAAGTTTCAGAACACATAACCTCTCCTGAAATGGTAACTCTAAAGGTCTGTCCTACAAAATACAATTACAGTGTTCATAGCAAATTGTAAGTTTGGAGGAAAAGTCATTTAATGAAAAGGAAATTTGTACTGGAAAATCATTTTCTCCTTTGGGCTTACTCTCCAGTGAAAGTGCAAATGTGCCTATACCCTGCAGCCAGACACACATGCATAGGAATGGCAGTTCTGCCACTTCCAAGATGTCATCTTCTTGGACAAAATATTTTAACCTCTTGGGGCCTGGATTGGAGGAGGAATTTTCATCATCTCTAAACCTGGGACAATTACCAAGTGTTGTTATAAAGACTGAAGAAGATAATCTAAACATCCAGGGATGCAAGGCTGGTACAATATTCAAAAATCAATAAACATGATACATCACATAAATAAAATCAAGGATAAAATCATGCCCGGCCCGGCATGGCTCAGTGGCTGAGCATCAACCTAGGATCCAGGAGATCACTGTTCGATTCACAATCAGGACACATGCCCAGGTTGCGGCCTCAGTCCCCGGTTGGGGACATGCAGGAGGCAGCCAATCAATGACTCTCTCATCACTGATGTTTCTATCTCTCTCCCTCTCCCTTCCTCTCTCTGAAATCAAGATATATTTTACCAAAAAAAAAATTAAAAATCACATGATCATATCAATTGATGCAGAAAAAGCATTTGATAAAATCGAACACCCATTTATGATAAAGACTCAGCAAAGTGGGAAGAGAGGGATCGTACCTCAACACAATAAAGGCCAAATATGACAAACCTATAGCCAACATCATACTCAATGGGCAAAAACTAAAAATGTTTCCCTTAAGATCAGGAACAAGACTGGGATGTTCACTTTCACCCTTCTTATTCAACATATTACTGGAAGTCCTAGCCACAGGGATCAGAGAAGAAGAAAAAATAACAGGCATCCAAATTGGAAAGGAGGAAGTAAAACTGTCATTATTCACAGATGACATCATGTCGTACATAGAAAACCCTAAAGACTTACCAAAGAACTGCTAGATTTAATAAATGAATTCAACAAAGTAGAAGGATACAAAATTAACATTCAGGAATTGATGGCATTTTGATACACTAATAATGAACTCTCAGAAAGAGAAACTAAAAAACAATCCCACTTACCACTGCAATGAAACAATTAAGATACATAGAAAGAAACTTAACCAAGAAGGTAAAAGATTTATACTCAGAAAACTACAGGACATTGAAAAAAGAAATAGAGGAAGATACAAACAACTGGAAGAATATACCATGTTCATGGATTAGAAGAATTAACATCATTAAAATGTCCATACTACCCAAAGCAATCTACAGATTCGATGCAATCCCTATAAAAATATCAATGGCATATTTCACAGATCTAGAAGAAATATTCCAAATATATGGAACCAAAAATTACTCAAATAGCCTCAACAATCTTGAGAAAGAAGAACAAAGTTGGAGGGTTCACAACGCCAGATATCAAGCTATACTATAAAGCCACTGTAATCAAAACATCCTAGTACAGGCACAAGGACAGGCATAAAGACCAATGTAACAGAACAGGGACCCTAATATTTGACAAAGGAGGCAAGAGCATACAATGGAGTAAAGGCAGTCTCTTCAATAAATGGTGTTGGGGAAATTGGACAGGCACATGCAAAAAAATGAAACTTATACCATACCCAAGAATAAACTCAAAATGTATAAAAGACTTAAGTGTAAGTCATGGAACCATAAAAATCCTAGAAGAAAACATAGGCAGTAAAATCTCAGACATCTCACATAGCAGTATTTTTGCCAATACATCTCCTAGGTCAAAAGAAACAAAGGAAAAAATGGGATACAGCAAACTAAAAAGCTTCTGCACAACAAAAGAAACCATCAACAAAATGAAAAGGTAACCCACTGTATAGGAGAATAGATTTGTCTATGATACATCTGATAAGGGATTAATTTCCAAAAATATATAAAGAACTCATACAACTCAACAACAGGAAGACAATCCAGTTAAAAAATGGGCAAAGGACCTGAATAGACACTTCTCCAAAGAGAACATACAGACAGCCAATAGACATATGAAAAATGCTCAGCATCACTAATCATCAGAAAGATGCAAATTAAAACTACAATGAGCTATCACCTCACACCTGTCAGAATGGCTCCATCAATAAATCAACAAACAACAAGTGCTGGCGAGGGTGTGGACAAAAGGAAACCCTAGTACACTGCTGGTGTGAATGCAGACTGGTGCAGCCACTATGGAAAACAGTGTGGAGGTTCCTCAAAAAATTAAAAAAGAAACTGCCATTTGACCCAGCAATCTTGCTTCTGGAAATATATCCTAAGAATCCTGAAACACTAATTAGAAAGAATATATGCACCCCTATGTTCATAGCAGTGTTATTTATAATAGCTAAGATCTGGAAACAGCCCAAGTGCCCATCAGTAGATGAGT